TATGGGGAATTTTGGGGTGGTCATAGCTTATAAAAAGCTACCCCTCCCAGCATGGCCCTGGCCAGGAAGAGGCTGGTGCAGCTCCTGGCCCCAAGCGTGTAGCACGCAACCCACCCTTGCCCCACACAGAAAATCGGGGGGGGGGCAGGGCACATGCCCCCCCATGCTTCCCCTAGGGATGTGCACAGCAGCAGGAAGCCCCCCCCATCCCCTGTGGACAAACCACCCACAACTCTGTCCAACTACTGGGGTTGTATTCATTGCTCTGGCTGGGCAGCGACTACCCCTACCTCACTCCCTCTCTCATTGTGGGGGCCTCAATCTGCTCCCTCCTCTCACCATGCCCTTCCTACCCCACAGACTTAACAGCTGGATACTGCTCTCCAAGCTGCCAGGCTGCTTTCCTAGCCACATGCATTGCAGCAGTGTGCATGCACACTGCATTTATCACTGCCATTATCTGCTACACCAGCCAAAAAAGCTGATTGCTGATAATGCTAATTTCCCTTTTATCAGTGCTGATCCGATATACTACCGATATATTGGTGCACCTCTAGTTATTTTAAGCTTATACAAAGATTGTTTCATTAAATCACCACCAACATTTTAAAGGGTGTTTAACATTTTAAAGCAAAAAGTAGGAGTAAAACCTGATCATCATAACGAAAAGGTTGCATGGAAAGAAGGTAACAAAGCTACATCCAGCTGATATTAGTTTGGTTGCAAAAACAGCTAATATAGAAGTAATTTAGCCTCACTCATACCAATATTAAAGTAATTCTTGAGTCCATAATGCATCTTATTAAATTGGTTCTTGTAATCATGTTTGTAGCATTATATAATTAGAATACAGCTTTATGGGAACAGCATCCTGAAACACCTCATTGTCTCTTGGCAGAAGTTTCAGTAGAATTAGCTAAACTCTTCTAATGACTTCCCTTTGGCATTACCTGTTCTAACTTGTCCTTCATATTAGTAGGCAAAGTTAAAATTAATTGTGTCTTGACATCTGCAAACTTAAAAATGCAGCAAACTATCAAAAAGCTGTAAAGTACTCCACAAAGTCCTGAAGGTCCGGCAAACATCTGCATAAGCCCATGGACTATATGTAGGAGCAGGATTTAGCATTGGTACTCAAATGTATAAGTACTGCTGCTGAATGACTTCCTAATTTTTCAATCAACACTGTTATTTGATATACTGGATTTAAGAATATTTTAAATAGCCACAGGATAGGAATGAATTACTTTAATTAAATACAAGAAGAATAGGGGGCCAGAACATTTTCCAACACTAAAAATGAAGTCAGAAGTACTAAAGATTTCAAAATCAAATAATGACTTGCGCTTTTATAAAGATCACCCACAAAAACACAGAGAAGAAAATATGCAAGTAACACAGATAAGAGGTTCTTACCTGTGAATTCCTGGCTACTAAGCCACAACTACTTTCACACAAATCAGCAAATGGTGCAATACAATGAGGTATAAACAGAGACACAGGACTTATAAAGGCACTTTGATAAGCATCCAAGAAAAAGGAGTGCAACAACATGATTACAAAATAGAACAGGCTCCAGACAAGAAGTTACCTCAATTCCCACCGTATGATGAAGAATGCTGACCAAAAGGACATGTTCCATCATCAACCTTGCAGGCATTGCAGCTGCACCAACACAAGCGTTCATAAGAATGTCTGTTAGGGTTTCATTCATGTCCTTTCTACTATTAGCCATGTACAGCTCTTCCAACTGTCCACTTATGGAGGCCATATTGGGTTCACTCAGCCTATTAAGAAACAGAATTGAAGGTTCTCTTTAGCTTTGTACCAATTCTTTCAATACACATCACCTAATATTGCTTTTAACCCACATGTCAAAACCTTTATATTTTCCCTCATTTATTCAACTAGTACCTAATGATAAAGGGAAAACATTTTGAAAGAGGCTTTTGATATTTCTTGTTCACCAAATTCTTGAAAACACCAAATATTTAGTCCCAGTCTTCTCATAAGATGCAATATATGAAGCACAAAAGTAATACTATTATTTGTAAGGTACTGGCAATGCACTTAGTGCTATATAGAAGACAAATAAAGAACAATCCTTACTCCAAGCAGTATTTCTGAAATGACCAATACATACCTGCCACGTGAATGCAGCCAATCTGTAGCCAGCACTCTGGCCATTTATCTGCGTAACAAGAGCAATCTTATTCTGATCAGCCAGACTGCATGCAAGCTAGATTTCACCCAGTTTTTGAAACATTGGCACAGACAAAAATTAACACTAATTAAATGCTTTTTTCTAAAAGTCACAAATAAGAAATAACTAGTCATTACTGCTGAAAAAATAAAACTATAGTACAAGATACGCAAGGCCCTTCAGCGATTCAGGCCAAGCAGTCTTAATAGTTTTTAAGTTGTGTGTTTAATTTAAATGTTTTAAAATTAAAAATCCCTATCTCCAAGCTCATATTGTACATATGAAAAGTTTGATGCTAGAATTGTTTTTTTTTTTTTTTTTTTTTTTAACTCT